TATTTTTGGGATCCTGTGAGTGAGGTATAGTGAGGTGGCCCAATCTGTCAGCAACGTGCTCACATGCTTATTTGTCTTTGATAACATAATAAAAGCCTTTATTTATTGCTGCTTTTTTAACTCAAAAGTGTGGGACAGGCACATTTAGTTGAAAAAATATATATAAAAATGATCAGTAAATAATATATATAAAGATGCTGTAAATTAATGTATATTAAACAATTCCATTTGAAATAATGTCAGATTGTAATTCAATTAGCTTATTTTACGTATCTCAACACTGTGACCAGAGTTGTGGGACATGAACAAACCCATACAGAAGTCACATAGATTGAAATATATTAATAATAAATAGATTTTCATATATTTAAATATCTTAAATTCAAATAGAAGAAAAAATATTTTATACAATATATGCAAATATATTTTGAAATATATATTAAAATATATTTATATTTGGCCGATTTTTTTATATTTTTCACAAATATTAAATATTTGTACATATAAGTATTTGCGCTACACTGTAACTAGGTTGCTGTAAATTTTACAGTAACTTACTGGCAGCTGGATGCCAGTAATTTACTGTAAACAATGTTTACAGTATTATTACCATATTATTACCCCCCCAAAAAAAATCACAATAACTCATGAGCTTTAGTTCTGATAATATTATTTTTAATTGTTGAACATTTTCTTTTTAAAAGTACAAGTTACAAATCTTGACCTCTCAGATGCACCTTAAACATGGGCATCACCACAGTCCCCTGGGAACTTTGTATCATGGAAAAACATACACATACTGAAAAGCAAAAATTGGCAAGTACACTACCAGTCAAAAGTTTTTTGAACAGTACGATTTTTAATGTTTTTAAAGTCTCTTCTGCTCACCAAGCCTGCATTTATTTGATCCAAAATACAGCAAAAGCAGTAATATTGTGATATTTTACTACTTACAATAACTTCGTTCTATTTGAATACATGTTAAAATGTAATTGATTCCTGTGATCAAAGCTACATTTTCAGCATCATCACTCCAGTCGAATATCTCATGAATATATCTACACGACAGAAGTGTCATGTACCTCGACGTAATCTTAAAGTTAATGACATAGTCATCATTAAAGATGACATGCTGCCAAGGAATCAGTGGCAGTTAGGTAGAGTTGTTGAGGTCATTCAAGGGAGCGATGGCTTAGTCTGACGAGTTAAAATTCAAACAGGAGAACGAAAACTAAAGACAAAGTTAGGGCATCACTCTAAACCTTCAATCATTGAGCGACCAATTCAAAAATTAGTGGTTCTACTTGAAAGTGAGTGATTCATTTATATAGTTTTTGCATCAGACAATTGGGTAATACCAGGTTGTTATTATTATTATTATTATTAATATTATTATTTTATGTGTTTTGTGTTGAAAAGGGGTCATAGAAGTTTGAAATCATGTATGATTTTTTTGTTTTTTTGTTTTTTGGGTTTATCATAACATGATTTGGTGGGAGTGTAATGACCTTCCCCTTTAACTCGCTTTGCTTGGCGTTACCACTAGAGGGAGTAAACGTATAGGATATAAGTGAGACCAAGTAGAGTAAGAGTAATAATCCACGTTTGCTCACGAGCTAACAGGTACAGCTCGGGAGAATGATCCGAGCTTTCAGCTTTTAGTATCCCTTCGGCAAGCAGAGCGAGGTTGGTTGGTTTGTTTGTTTTCTCATGTATTTCCTTGGTACAATATTGTTGATTAATTTGAATGTTAAATATGTTTAGTTAAAATTGTTTATTTTTCTTTTGTTTTTTGTTTCTTTATTTGTTTTCTTTGTAGTTTTACGGTGCCACGATGAAGTGATCTGATTGTAATGGTGCTATGAAGTCAATCAATGGTTGTGATGCATGGAGAGAATATGCAACAAAGAATTGAGATAACGAATACTTCAGCAGTGAAGTTTATTGCATCTGAGTAAAATAAATCGAAGGCACCCGTCAGAAACTCTCTGCCTCTTTTTGTTCGACGCTGAAGGGCTGCTACA